TATTAAAATCACGATGTATCTCGCTGCATTGCACGAGTACGCTTCTACTATATATATATATATATATATATATATATATATATATAAAGAGAGAGAGAGAGAGGGGGGGGGGGAGTTTTGGAAAACCCTTAAAAAATAAAAAACTAAATAGGATCTTGGTAACTATTTATCTAAATGATATGTATATATACATACAAGTAACATACTATGTTTCTTGGTTTTTTTACACATGTGCAAACCGAAAAAATTGCTTACAAATGATTTGTATGCAGATGTATATACCGTCCAAACAGACAATTACAATGATGCTCATTGTTTTCTTTTTGTGTGGATTATTATACAACTCTTTACATTTCTACAACTCTTACAATCAAATCAGAAACGTCCACTTGATTATCAACATAAAAAATTGAATATAATAAATAAGCTACACCCATTGTATAATCTAAAAGGGTTAGTATTTCAACCTCAAAAAGTGGATATATTGTGATTAATTGTCGACCAATGTGATCTAATAATACCCACATGGAAATTAAATTGAGTGGCCTCCACGTGGCTGGTAATACTATGCTTGCTTTTATTTCGTGCCTAATTATTTTGTTTTCCGAAAATTAAATAAACATTAAAATTAAATTTTTTTTTACTATTTTATATGCATATATCTTGTAAAAATACATTTATTCGTATAATATAAAGAATTCTGAGTTCCCAAAATAGTAGTATTAACTTTTATAATTAAAAATAATTCATAAATTAAAATTTACAAACTCAAAAGATTCTGTTTTTGAATCTTGTTTTCGTTTATAAAATTTTGTTGTGATTGACCTGTTTTAATTGGTTGTTTGACAGTTGCTGAATGATTTGATACAAAATGATTAAGTGATAAGAATGAAATATAATTATTTGATAATTGTTTACAATGAAATTAGGGTACTGAATGGTTAAGGGAGGCACAAGATACAAAATCATTCAGATTGTTTTAGAATCATTAAGAGACAATTTTTTTTCCAAACAATATTCAATTATTAGCGATTCAAAAACTACCTCTTAATGGAACTATTAAAAGGTAAATAAACAACCATTTAATGTTTAGAGTAAATTACATTTTTGTCCCTTTAGTTTGTTAAAACTTGCATTTTCCGTCACTCTAGTTTCGACATTGCAGTTTTCATCATTATGGTTTACAATCAATTACTATTTTCAATCATGAATCTCAATCTACGTCAAAGTTGACGAACAAACAAGAAGAATAAATCAAAAAACCACAAAAGACGAAAACAACAATAAATTTTAAATCATAACGACAAAAGAAATGAATTGGAACCACAAACACGAAAATCATAAGGAAGAAAATAAATTGTAAAACGTAGGAACGAAACTGGTAATTTTTAAAATTATAGGGTTAAAAATATCAATTTCTAAAAATTACAGGGACTAAAAAGTAAATTACTCCAATATTTATTTTGTTTTAATAAAGGGTTTTAAATATTTAATTAAAAAAGAGAACATAAAGAGATGCACGTTGGCTGTTCATGATGTGAGCCTGTGGACTCACTCTGCATCTTCATGTGTCTCAAAAAGATTTCGTAGATAAACTTCAAAAAGTTTATTACTGATTTTTTATTGTTTTTTTAATGAACTTTTTTTTCACAATTAATTATAAAAGGTAAATTTTAACTACATATTAATTTTTTTTTAAAATAATCTATTTATTGATGCTTTTAATTA